AAAAGCGATTTTAAGGAAGAAATATTCTCGAGCATTATATATTTTCACCACTCAAGCCACAAACTTAATCTTGTGGTGAACTATAACTGCCACTATAACTGATACAATAAACTTTTTTAGGGAATCGACTGCTCGTAAAAATTACGCTCCAAATCTATCACGAATGTGTGAAACAAGATGGTCGGAGAAATATAAATCGATTTGAAAATTTTCTCAAAATTTCCCAGAGCTTGTGAGAGCTCTAGGAAAATTATCCATGGAAGAAAATTATGTCACAAGAAAATCTGAATACCAGTTGCAATCTGCGGTTACGAAACCATTGTTTATCGTTGCCTTAATTACTACAGCAAAATACTCAGCAGTGTTGGAATCAGTAGTTAAAAAAGCACAAGACATGGCAATAAAATTGGAAATAGAAATTTGTGTTCTACGTCTTGCTCATAAGCAAAAACACAGGAGCAATCCTCCATCAGACAATGACTATGAATACTGGCAACGTTCTCTAATTATATCATATCTGGATTCGCTTACATCGTTAAGTATTCGATTTTTTCAAGAAAATACTTCAGCCTTTTCGTTGACAAAACTACACCCTTTATACATGACCAAAATGAGTATCACAGATTTACGCAAGAACGCAGAACTGTTTACAAATTTTTATGAGTTGGATGCTGTCACTGGAGAACTGGATCTTTGGTATAATTTGTGGATGAAGAAGAATTTACCGGAAGGCAAATTAAGGGATATAGAAGTCGTTGACCTGTTTAACGAAACTTCTATTTTTTTCTGCCATGAGAAAATCATTCACAATTCTGAGCGCTATTCCATGCAATACGGCGACCATAGAACGATCTTTCAGTACGCTTCGAAGAGTGAAGACCTGGCTTTGGAGCACTATGGGAGAGGAAAGATTGACTGGATAATGCGCATCGAAATTTTGTGAAAGAACACCGTAAGATGGTGGAAAAGAAAGTTATAGAAGACTTTTCGGTAAATCCGAGTACAGTACTACATTAACTACATTAACTACATGGTAGGTAGTAGGTCCACTTATAAAGTGGTAGCATGTAAAATTATTATGCTAATAAATAATAAAAGCAGTTTTTTAATAGTTTTGAGTTATTTTATATAAGAAATCGTCATGTTTCACTCTCCCTTCCCACTTCCTCGAAACTAATAACAGTTTCCCCCCTTTAGTTCAGATCCTGGGTACGCCCTTGCCGTGGCCACCATTTTATTCGAGTTTTTATTGTTATCATCTGTTTTATATTAATTTAGTGAATGAAATAAGTTTATATTGATGATCTTTATTTCATACAGATTATTGTAGTTTTAATAAAAAATAAATTGCTAAACGCAGAAATCTTATTAAGCTTACATTATAATTAAGGATAGTTAACTTCTTAATAATTAAATATTTATTGAGAATATTGTAATTGTATGTTTTATTCAATAGCCGGATGCAAAAGAACAATAGCATTCTATGAATCGTTTTCTATTTGTTAAAGGTAAATTATTGGCAGTATTTTGCATGTTTATTTTTGCTTTCATCTTTAATTGGACAGGAGACTTTGCCAAATTTTTCCTTTTAGATTAGTATAAAAAAGAGAAAACAAATAACTCTTTTGTTTCTATCGGGTTCTTCACCAAATAATTACGAAAGTGTCGTTGTCACTATAATAAGAATGCTAAACAGAAAAGATTTACTTCTACAATAACGATGAGGAATAAAAAATGTTATAAATAAAAACTAATATATACATTTTTTTAAATTTAAATAGATCCTTTTTTTTTAATATTTGAATTGGCTTAAGAAATTCTTTTTATTTTTTATTTTTTTAATTTTAATGTGTTAAATTATTTTTAATTTTGAAATGAGATAATGTGAAAAAATCCGAAATGTTTATGATAGTTTTATTCATTACTTTTATATTATTTGTTACATAATGAAACATAAAAACTGTTGTATTAAAATTAGTAGTCGGCATTTCTCCAAAGACTTTTATTGCTAGTTTATTGTCAAAATAAACTCTTTAAGTGTAATTTGAACGAATTAAAGAGTTTAAATTTATTGTTGATTAATTTCGGCTTTCCCGAATTGGGTTTCATAAACCTGTATCTTATTTTTTTTTATAAAATACTGAGCCTTTTCTTCTAAGAATAATCGAATATCCTAATTAATCTTCAATACTTCTGAATGACAAAATCAAATAATTAATCGTAAGAATCGAGTAAATATCTCGCTTTCAAAACTTATGAAAACTTAATTTAGCATAGAAGACAAATGAAAAATTATATTATACAAAATATATTAGATAATTTGTTTCTTTGTTCTCTCACGTTACTCGAGAAACAATCATGTCCGAGTACTTATTAAATCAAAGCATTTCCGATAATTCTAATTCTTACGAATTTCCACCTGTACTATTTTAAATTAAAGTAATATACAGTTTAGTTGCTTTTCTCTGTGTTAGTATTTAACTATTGCGTGTACTTCCACTGTTAATTGCGAAATAAAGCGCTATAACACATTCAAACACTACGCAAAATTTTGGCATTAGCTTTGGAATGGAATGCGAACAAACAAAAAGAATAAAGTATAAATTAGAAATCCAAAAGCTACTAAATGCGCTTTCTGGTATTATTAAATAGCGGTAAAGTTGCCAAATGACATCGTCAGCGACTTCAATTATTTTTATAATAAAATTTAATTAATATAGAGCCAAATAGTTAATTTATAAAGCTTTTATTATTATTATTATTATTTAGTTTTATGTTTTTGGATTTTCGAGCAACTCAGACTAATGATTTCAAATAAGGATTTTAATTCTTCCGAATAATTGTAAGGATAATAGAATTAAATAACTATTTATCGATTTTATTGAAAATATATTTTTAAATTTAAAGTTTTAATGATAATTAATATATTTTTATTAAGCATGTAATTAACAACAGTGTGGAAATAATTTTAGTTTTTTTTTTTAATAATAGGTTTATTCAGAAACTCCATTGAAGATATCTAATTGAAAAATTCAGTATAATGAATGTTCTGGACAATTTTAAATATAAGTTTCCTCAGATCTTATCACAGAGAGGAACAGTTGGGCTATTCGCTTGGTTTTCAATTTTCGAGGCCTCAAAAACATCAATGAATAAATTGAAAGAAATATCTAGGAATATTCATAACACGTTTCGGCATTTGCTCTCACCAGATGAATGTGATATTTCAAGAAATGTTAAAATATCCGCATTCATCTGCCCATTGCTCTGGTGGATCCAGGATCAAACCCGGACAGATCAAAAAACCTCAGATATTTTTTTGGAATGATCCGTCCGAATATGTCAGTCTCCGTTTCTCATCACTCGACCACCCTATTGTAAGCCTGTTCAAACCCACAATAAGCATGGTAGAAAGACCATCTTAGTGCCCATAGTTTAAAAAAAAATTCAGCAACGAGTTGCTTAACATTCCCGGCGACATTTGTTATCATATTTTATTAAAAACATTTTATATTTTTAACTATTACAAAATGGCAAAATGATTTTGAGGATAGGGATGGGATTAATAAAAAAAATTGTAAATGCTAAATAATGAGTAAAATCATCATTAAATCTTACCCTACTGGAGTTTCACTCCCTTTATCCCCCCAATCCGCAACCCTTACTTATTAAAATTTAACAGCATCAATCCTCTTAACAAGCAAATCTCCCTACAAAATTTCAGAAATTTTTGACAAGAAGCACAGGAGTTATTAAACTTCAAAAAGAGTGTAGAAAATGCTTTCTCTTCACACATACACATCTTGGGATCATTTTTTGACCGATCTCTATAATTACTTTCTGTTATATATAACAGCCAGGAAAGTAAAAATATACTGGCGACAAAAAATCATTTGGCTATATCTTTCTCATCCCTGAAAGACTGGATATATTAACATCTCTTGAAAATTAAGACAATAAAGAGTGGTCGAGAATGATTATATCAATACATCGCTAACAATTTCGTTTTTAATTATAAATATGAGGATTTAGGGCTATCTATGATATTTATAAGCATAAAATAAAATAGCAATGAGAGAAAACTCTCTAAGTACATAAGATATGTATGTGTCAAAATGATAGAAATTCTATTGTTATTTTACGACTAAATGATATAAAGTTATACGAAAATTAAAGTAAGTTTCTTATATAAGGATAAAGATTATCGCTACTATTTATTATTATTATTTTTTTTTATTATTAAAAATAATAGAGATATTTAACAAAATTTTTTTTCCATTTATCAAATGAGCTTTTTAATTTAAATTTATAAGTAATATTACAATAAGAAGAAGCTAGGTTTTAATATTATAGTATTGAACATGACATAAATTAATCTTACCACGTATGCTTTAATATATGTAATTTTTTTTATTATTATAATTTTTTTCATTGTTTCCTTACAAAAGTTGTTAAAAAGTCATAAAGTTTCAAGTGGTCAAAATTTTTTAAATGCAAATATTATTTAGTCATTTTAAAGTTAAAATTTAAAGAAAAAATAATAATAAAGAATTATTTATTTATTTTTGTTTAAAGTAATATTGTGTTAAACAATATACTTTCTAATATTTAAAAGTTTACACCCTTTGTTCTGTTCTATTTCATTAATAACTTGTGTATTTAATTTTAAAAAAAAAATTAAAATAATTTCACAAATTAAGTACATGTTATAATGCGAAAATCATAATCAGCGCATTAAAAAATTGTGTATAATATTAGTTCTATAATAAATTTTAATTACATTACATTACGATGATCGACACATTTCACTATTATATAATATAGATACAATTACAAGATAAGTATCATAATTTGGCATATTAATTTACAAAAGTATCATCGGTATATTATATCAATTAATATATAGTTAGTGATACAAAATTTTAGTTTAGAAGAAAAAAAAACAAACTTTAATTTTAATAAAATAGCATTTAAATTAATAAATTTTTAATATAACTTACCAATATTAATGACTTCACCAGAAACTGAAGTGAGTAGTAATAAGTATAAGAATATCCGCATAATTTTTAATAGAGAATATTAAAGCACAACTTAACCATCGAAATGCTGTTTTANATAAAATAGCATTTAAATTAATAAATTTTTAATATAACTTACCAATATTAATGACTTCACCAGAAACTGAAGTGAGTAGTAATAAGTATAAGAATATCCGCATAATTTTTAATAGAGAATATTAAAGCACAACTTAACCATCGAAATGCTGTTTTAAAATCACTTAGTACCAAAGATTTTTCTTTGTTTATACCCTCTATACTTGTAGTCGGGATGATTTCATCTTAGAAAAAGAATAAAAAAAAAAAAAACGAAATGCTGGCACAGATCCACCTATTCAAATCCAGTACATCCTTCCACTAAACTATTCAGAAATGATTATGAAGCTAAAAACAATTAAAGAGTTTTATTTCATTAATTGTTTTTATAGTCGTATAAAACACTATCCTATTACAAAATTAAATAAATATTATTAGGTTAAGGTAAAGATGAAATTATATATCAAATTTTTGATTCTTTGCCAGTTAAAAAAAAAAAAAACGAAATGCTGGCACAGATCAAAATATGAAAAGTAACAGGTAAATCTGCTCCGACTTTGAAATCTTATGAACAATAAAAAGCCTATTACAAGATTTATGCAGAAATCTTGAGACGGAAGATAATTAAAATAGAATATCATGCCAAGTATATAAAAAGATGGCAAATAATTTTGAATAAAATATTTAATTTGCTTTTAGATTATGCTAACAAAAGCAATTTTTTTTAGCATTTCAACAAAATGCGTAATCTATTATTAATTAATCTGTTTATGCATTATCTGCTTATAATGCATAAGTAGAGTTATAAACTTATGTTTTCTAGTAAGTATTGACATTTTAACACAGACCCTGAGATGCTATTGCTAATTTTTTACTCAATTTACTTGTTGTATAGTTTAACTCTTATTATTTTCTAAAAACTATTTATTCAGCCTATATTTTATTTCGAGATTTTACAATGTAAAAAAGAAAATTAAATTTTAAATAATTAAAAAAAAAATGTAACAACGAAATTCTATTATTTTATTCAAGTTTTACAAAGTGTTGATTATCCATACAAGAAATTAAATTTGCAAAAAAAACGAGTAAAAAATAGAAATTTTTTCACGTGTTTTTTACCAATTGGTCTTCTTCCAATAGATTATATCTTCTTTCACCAAGTGAAAATAGCGAGATATAAAGAATTTCCTTAAAATATTGATATTAAAAAAGATATTGGAGATTCTCTTAATATTGATATTTATTTAATGCTTTATTAATAAAAGCTTATTTGATTTATTCCTCTATAATTTTTTAACAAAATGTTTGATTTATCCTTAATATAATTGTCCTTATTTGATGGCTAATGTATAACTGCAAAATATTATTGTCTTTGATAAATAAGGCATTATATGTTACCGAGTATCGACAGGGCCGACGTGACTTTTTGCGGGGAAAGAATACATTCAAATCCTATACTTAAATTTCACAATAAGGAACTATTTATTATAAGTACAAAGGATGTTACATATATTTTTTGTAAGATGAATATTACATAATTTTTTTGGCTTTATTCGCAGCAAAATTGATTGAGTTTGCTACTTCGCTTTCTATTGAAAGAATAGACAGAGATGTAAATCGTTCTTGTGTTATTGATGATCGAAGATAATTTTTTATTAGTTTCAACTGCGAGAAACTACGTTCAGCTGAAGTCACGGTTACTGGTGTAGTTAACATTATTTGTAATGCAATTAATAAATTTGGGTGTGCTTCCGAAAGATTTTTTTATAATGTATTTCATCGCATCTAGATCCGAATAATTGGCTTGCGGCTAATATCTCCATATTAACTGTAAGGAAGAGAGAAGAAGAAGAAGAAGAAGAAGAAGAATCTCCGTACACCAAAATCCACCATTAAAGTTGTTATACTTGAAAATTGGTTTGGTTTTATGAAATATGGTAATGAAACACATGGGCGATCTGCTAAGGAGTGATGCCTCCCGGGAAGACTTTCTATGGGATACTGGCCCATATTTAAGTGTTAAATACTCATATATGTTTTTATTATCGATTTCAGTACTTTGACTATGTAAATACTGTAAGTATATTTATAGAGATATAAACAATTATATAAGAAAAGGATCAAGATCTAGTTATATATCAGTTCATTTTTTAAGAAATTATTTGATTTTAACTTTCAAAAGAAAAAAGAAGAACAGAACGTTTTTCCTAGCTTAAAATTAAAACAGATATTAATGTTTCAAAAATACCTCTTGGGCGGCTTGGTGGAGAGAGATGAGACTTGACGCATCCGCGACCAGGGCCCATGACATATTCGGGAAGTTGCAACTTGGTTTTGATCCCGTGTCTTTCCACAGTGGTAGAGTGGTAGGTGCTGCAAGTGTTAAAAAAATAAAATTATGCAGCAATTTTATCAAGATCTTTTTTTAATTGAGGATTTATTATTTTATGTTTATTAAAATTGATAGATATTTATTAAAAAAGTATTTTCTATCAAAAAGTTTACATTCCAAAAATTAAAACATACAAATGCGGAAATATTCAGATGTTTTGTTTTATGTCATGTGCTAACAAACCGTAGGACATCACATAAAATGCCTTCATTAAAATGCTGAGATATGCATCCATTTAACATCTGCAGAAACCGGTTAGCACTTGAAAACGTGACCAGAATTACTAGATCTGAAACAAATGTCTATTACAGGATTTTCTAGCGCTTCAAGAAATTGCTAGGCACTTCTTGAAATGACTAATTTCAGTATGTTACTATGACGTGTAGCTTATATATAGTCACACATAGTTTATATACAATAGACATAAAAAATTATTGTTTTTTTTGTATAACATTATAGCAAAACCGTGCGCTTTTGCGCCACTTTTCATTACTGGATGGATTCAGATATATCAGAGAAATACTAACTTGTGGCAATTGTTGATGATATAGGCTATATCAGGGATGTAAAATGAAGTCCTTCATGAATATAATTCTCAACAATATTTTCTGTTTTTTCCTATAAACAAATTGCTGTCACTAGAGTAGTTTTAATTAAATAAGAAGGTCCGTAAATTTATCGCTAACGCATTCATTCAGCATTTATCTTAATATTCCAAAAGTAGTTACAGTATTTGCATACTTATTTCAATCTCCATTTATAGAAATAAATTAATGAGGCATTTAAAACATAATATAATAATATTTATACATTTTCTTGAGAGACGTTTAAAGACGACTCTATTCAACTTCAATATTTTAATATATAAATTTTATGATTTTTTTTTACTAATTTATTAAACTCTTATTTTATATAAGATTTTATTATTTTTCAAGTACTAAAATTAACAAAATAAAATAATAATAATAATAATTTCAAATGACAATATTATTTTAATATGACAGTAGAAGAGAGAGAGTTGCTGGTTGGCTAGAGCAGTCTACATTTTTGTATTGATAAAAAGTATTTGCGTAAAATTTGTATTTTATTAGATGAAGCTTGTGATATTAAAGAGTAAAAAACAGAATAAAAGACTTGTGGGTACGTGAATGGATAAGGAGGTTAGGTGCATCTTAATTTCTCAAGAAACTTGCAGCTGAGGACGTTAAGCGATATAAAATGTGCTTACAAATGACTCCATAAAAATTTGAAATGTTTTCGGGTATGGCTGCACCTAAACAAGTCACTCAAATCAAAATGCAATATCTCCATGAATGAAGTTATAAATGACTTTGGATTTTATATGTGAGTGAAGCTACTATACTGTCCGCTCTACCATTCGACTTATTCATTTATTCGACTATTTATTCGCCCAATTGTTTGCACTAGTCGAATGGATATGCTTTTCCTGACTCGCCTCTTTATTCTACGTTTATTTGACTAATTTAAACTATGGTTAAGAACGATACACATTCATCTGGTCCAACAAAGAAAATTCTAACTCCCTGCAACGTAGTTAACTTCGTAAAAAGCCAGTAGCCGAATTATCGATATGGACTAATTTTGTACGGTGCGTTATTTTCTTCTTGTCATTTTAAGAACAGTAGTTATTGTTGAGGTGTTAAAAATAGAATGTTTAGTGGCCGGGGATGTTGTTGGGAATGACCATTTATGGATGTTTTTGTATGCATTTTTGTTTGAAAATTAAAGTTCCTGGAAAAAATGGTAGCCTTTTACAGGTGTCTTTTGTTAGGAGATAATCGTTATTGGAGGTTCGACTGGAGTTATTTCTCTATTAAACAAAAACAGAAAAGATATACATAATTAAATTTTATTTTATTCAATAGATTATTAATTAATTAATTAATTAATATAATTAAATACTCGTGTAGTTTCAGGTATGGAGTTTATTTTACCCACATATTACAGGTAAACAATATAGAAATATGAAAAGAAACACAAAAAATGAAAATGAAAAAGAACTATTACCAAGTCATTTGTTGATGTCTTTTTTTGTAATTTAAAACCTTCGATGACAGAACATCAAAAGTGAATGTACTAAAATTTCACTGTGAAATTTAACAGTATCAAATGTATCACGGAATAAATTCCCTTAATAATTGTTTTAAAGATAATTGTTTTCTTAGTTAGAGTGGAAAATTTCAAGATTTTCTATAATGCGGTTACCGAAATATAAGCAATTGAAAAGAGCAAAATTCGTAAAAAAAGCTTTGTTTTCTTCTTCTCCTTCTTCCCTTTATTCTTCATCCGGCACTGCAGACGTTTATAGAGAAAAAAATTACTGGCTCTAGAAAGCTGAAATTTAAAACTTTCTCGTTATTAGTGAGGTGCTGGCTAAATTTCCGAGTAGATAGGTCAAAGTTTACGAAGGTTTCCCCATAGAACTATTTCAGTTTTATGAGGTTAGATTTTTACCTGTATTATTCTTTTCTACAAATCGTCATAAATATTTACTTGTTTATTATCATAAGTGTTTACTTGGAGCAATTTTTTTTTACATCTCAGATGTTTTTGTTTGGATATTATATACTTGTAAAATGATTAATAAAAATTCGATTAGAATCAAATCTCCTACAGAATTCGGCGGAGAAACTTGTGAATTAGAAATTGAAACAAAATATCCTTTAAGATTTCTGGAATTAATTATTTTTCTTATTATTATTTCAACAATTCTGTCCTCTCAGATAGTTATATCTATATATTTCATCACAAAAGTATAGCTTTTCAGGTTGTTTTAAAAGTAGAACTCTAGTTGAAAGAAATGACAGAAGAGAATTTCAGTTCATCACGTTGAAAATTTAATAAAAAGATTAAGACTTAGAATGAATTGAAAACCTAAATCATAAATTTCGATTTCGAATAATGTAATAAATGATTTTCACATTATTTGATTATTCTGTTATTATTACTTTAAAATTTTTTAAACTCTTTCCACCTTGTGGACTCTAAGAGGGCCTTTTTAGGAGGTCCATTATGGGTTCGGCCAGGTCCACAATAGGGCGTGAGGGTGGTGAGGAACGGAGTCCTACATATCCGGAAGGACCACTTCCAGAAAACTTCATAAGTTGACATTCTATATAACTTCTACAGTATATTTATAGCACTTGATGTGTTCAATACTTTAATCTGACTTTGAATTTGAAAAAGATGAAATTATGTGATATAACCTTAAAGATAAAGTTATGTTTCATATAATAAATAGAATATTCTGTAATTTTATAAAGTTAAAATTGCATTAATGTTATACAAATATAAAACGTCAGTATTAAAATTTTATTTATTTAAACATATTTTTAATTTCATTTCAGTATGAGTATTTGATTTTTAAGAATATAAATCCCATTTGAAATTGGCCAGAAAATAGCAAATAAATTAAATTGCTAGAAATACATTATTCTAAAAACAATTGCGCTGATCAATATATTTCCATTTTCATTCTGAAATAAATGGATTTTTTATAACAATTATGAAAGATAAAAATAAAATTGTTATTTGGATAATGATGTTCTCTTTACTGCAGTTGATTTGTCTGTTGTAGTTGATGTTAATGAACTGCTAGTGGGTTTTGATGAAATTATCTTCTCTTCGTCTTCGGGTTCTATAGGTGCAGTCTTTACTGTATTTTTTCCCATTACAGTCGCTTTTAATTCTTTGCATAATTCTATACAAATTGGTTTCTTAAACAGATAAAACATTTATTAATTAAATTAGAATTAGATATATTTATTTAAAAAATTGAGAGAGCAATAAAATTTTTCTCCTACCCTTTCTTCTTGGGGTATTTTTCTTTTTTCCCAATAGAATTCTACTAAGACAACAATACTGGCTAGAGGAAGTCCAATAGTTAAAATTAAAAACACACCACCAATATTTTCCACTCCCAGCGTATCTGATGGGGGTGGTACAGATGGACAGTCTTGTTTACTTTTCCACCATTTACGTTTCAAAAGTTTTGTAATTCCTTGTTCTTGGAGCTTTAATAATGCGTGCGAAAGACTTTCTCTAATAGGAGAACCTTAATAATAGTAAAATAAATAAACAAAACAAAATCATATTATGGTAAGTTAAAAATAAAATTTAAAATCATTAAAATATTAAGTAATTAATTGACTTTTCTCTTTACCTTTAGGTGTTGCAATGGCATAACTTTTTTCATCTAAGGAATCACCAATTTTCATTAGGCCACAATCGGAAACGATTGCATAATCTATTGAAGTAGATTCCATAAAGAATGCATAATTCCCTTTTTTTACTCTTTCTTTACCTTTGTCATTACTGGAGACAAAAACCTTTGGTTCTGCAGATTCCATTGTTGTCCACATTCTACTGTAGGTAGGATGGTCAGAATACTAAAAAATTTTTAAAATATTTATTACGATTAATGATAGTTAAAAATTATATTTAAATTGTTTTAAAATTATGCAAATAAACTCCTATCATTGACTAAGTGTATGTTTAATAAGGCATGCGATATTTTTGGAATTTTAAAGTTACAACCGTTCTGATCATTAAAATTTAAAGAAGAAATTATCACCATAACATATAAAAGTAGGTTATAGTTCTATTTATTTACCCATATTTTCAAATTTCTATACTAAATAGGACAAAAGATATAAGACTAGGGGAATTAGAGACTCCCCAACCTTTCATGGGCACCATTCCTATGACGGTTCAAAGAAATTTAACTACAAGTAAAGTATGGAGAACACATTTTTTTTTTTCTTCAACCTTACAAAATTCAAAATAAATTGTTTCAATTTAAATTTGAAACATTATAAAAGTAATATAATAAACGAATTAACAATACTTTAAAAAATTTTTCCGTAGATCCTCCTTTAACGCAACCATATTGTATTTTCTGTTGATTTACAAGATCTTCTGCGTTTTTTATTGCTGTTTCCATTCGTCCAGCTGTAAGAAAAGCTGCTAAATTTGCAGTATAAGATGATACCATAATCAATGTAAAAAACCACCAATAACCAATTGCCATCCTGGTAGACGTGGCCCTGAAAGAAAAAATTAAACATTTGTCTTACCAATAAAAATTATTTTAGTTTTATGTCTGCATATGTATTAAACAACATAAATTAATATTTCTAAATTTTATTTTTAGTACTTTTATACATCACAATTTTTAAAATAAATGTAAATTCATGTAAAAATAAATAAATTCTTAATTTCTTATTTTGAAATTAAAATATAATAGCATGAAATAGCTTATTTATAATTATATATATATATAATAGTTATGTATTAAAATTTAATCTCAGATTCAGACATAGAATTAAAGGAGTTATGTGTGAATCCGAATTTTTTCGAAATACGAAATGAATACGAAATGATGAATTTTATACAGATTTTAATTTTAGTTTTATTACAAATTCATACAGAATATGGAATTAATTCACAATATATTTATTTATTTCTACGCAGTGTAAATNCTCTCTGTTATATATAACAGCCAGGAAAGTAAAAATATACTGGCGACAAAAAATCATTTGGCTATATCTTTCTCATCCCTGAAAGACTGGATATATTAACATCTCTTGAAAATTAAGACAATAAAGAGTGGTCGAGAATGATTATATCAATACATCGCTAACAATTTCGTTTTTAATTATAAATATGAGGATTTAGGGCTATCTATGATATTTATAAGCATAAAATAAAATAGCAATGAGAGAAAACTCTCTAAGTACATAAGATATGTATGTGTCAAAATGATAGAAATTCTATTGTTATTTTACGACTAAATGATATAAAGTTATACGAAAATTAAAGTAAGTTTCTTATATAAGGATAAAGATTATCGCTACTATTTATTATTATTATTATTATTTAGTTTTATGTTTTTGGATTTTCGAGCAACTCAGACTAATGATTTCAAATAAGGATTTTAATTCTTCCGAATAATTGTAAGGATAATAGAATTAAATAACTATTTATCGATTTTATTGAAAATATATTTTTAAATTTAAAGTTTTAATGATAATTAATATATTTTTATTAAGCATGTAATTAACAACAGTGTGGAAATAATTTTAGTTTTTTTTTTTAATAATAGGTTTATTCAGAAACTCCATTGAAGATATCTAATTGAAAAATTCAGTATAATGAATGTTCTGGACAATTTTAAATATAAGTTTCCTCAGATCTTATCACAGAGAGGAACAGTTGGGCTATTCGCTTGGTTTTCAATTTTCGAGGCCTCAAAAACATCAATGAATAAATTGAAAGAAATATCTAGGAATATTCATAACACGTTTCGGCATTTGCTCTCACCAGATGAATGTGATATTTCAAGAAATGTTAAAATATCCGCATTCATCTGCCCATTGCTCTGGTGGATCCAGGATCAAACCCGGACAGATCAAAAAACCTCAGATATTTTTTTGGAATGATCCGTCCGAATATGTCAGTCTCCGTTTCTCATCACTCGACCACCCTATTGTAAGCCTGTTCAAACCCACAATAAGCATGGTAGAAAGACCATCTTAGTGCCCATAGTTTAAAAAAAAAATTCAGCAACGAGTTGCTTAACATTCCCGGCGACATTTGTTATCATATTTTATTAAAAACATTTTATATTTTTAACTATTACAAAATGGCAAAATGATTTTGAGGATAGGGATGGGATTAATAAAAAAAATTGTAAATGCTAAATAATGAGTAAAATCATCATTAAATCTTACCCTACTGGAGTTTCACTCCCTTTATCCCCCCAATCCGCAACCCTTACTTATTAAAATTTAACAGCATCAATCCTCTTAACAAGCAAATCTCCCTACAAAATTTCAGAAATTTTTGACAAGAAGCACAGGAGTTATTAAACTTCAAAAAGAGTGTAGAAAATGCTTTCTCTTCACACATACACATCTTGGGATCATTTTTTGACCGATCTCTATAATTACTTTCTGTTATATATAACAGCCAGGAAAGTAAAAATATACTGGCGACAAAAAATCATTTGGCTATATCTTTCTCATCCCTGAAAGACTGGATATATTAACATCTCTTGAAAATTAAGACAATAAAGAGTGGTCGAGAATGATTATATCAATACATCGCTAACAATTTCGTTTTTAATTATAAATATGAGGATTTAGGGCTATCTATGATATTTATAAGCATAAAATAAAATAGCAATGAGAGAAAACTCTCTAAGTACATAAGATATGTATGTGTCAAAATGATAGAAATTCTATTGTTATTTTACGACTAAATGATATAAAGTTATACGAAAATTAAAGTAAGTTTCTTATATAAGGATAAAGATTATCGCTACTATTTATTATTATTATTTTTTTTTATTATTAAAAATAATAGAGATATTTAACAAAATTTTTTTTCCATTTATCAAATGAGCTTTTTAATTTAAATTTATAAGTAATATTACAATAAGAAGAAGCTAGGTTTTAATATTATAGTATTGAACATGACATAAATTAATCTTACCACGTATGCTTTAATATATGTAATTTTTTTTATTATTATAATTTTTTTCATTGTTTCCTTACAAAAGTTGTTAAAAAGTCATAAAGTTTCAAGTGGTCAAAATTTTTTAAATGCAAATATTATTTAGTCATTTTAAAGTTAAAATTTAAAGAAAAAATAATAATAAAGAATTATTTATTTATTTTTGTTTAAAGTAATATTGTGTTAAACAATATACTTTCTAATATTTAAAAGTTTACACCCTTTGTTCTGTTCTATTTCATTAATAACTTGTGTATTTAATTTTAAAAAAAAAATTAAAATAATTTCACAAATTAAGTACATGTTATAATGCGAAAATCATAATCAGCGCATTAAAAAATTGTGTATAATATTAGTTCTATAATAAATTTTAATTACATTACATTACGATGATCGACACATTTCACTATTATATAATATAGATACAATTACAAGATAAGTATCATAATTTGGCATATTAATTTACAAAAGTATCATCGGTATATTATATCAATTAATATATAGTTAGTGATACAAAATTTTAGTTTAGAAGAAAAAAAAACAAACTTTAATTTTAATAAAATAGCATTTAAATTAATAAATTTTTAATATAACTTACCAATATTAATGACTTCACCAGAAACTGAAGTGAGTAGTAATAAGTATAAGAATATCCGCATAATTTTTAATAGAGAATATTAAAGCACAACTTAACCATCGAAATGCTGTTTTAAAATCACTTAGTACCAAAGATTTTTCTTTGTTTATACCCTCTATACTTGTAGTCGGGATGATTTCATCTTAGAAAAAGAA